CTTTTGGTACTAGTGCATATAAGCTTGCTAATATGGATAAATTTTTTCATTCCTGATGATGACATAATTAATGTCGAAATATTGAATCCCAACACGATGGCGTGTATTTCAATACTTGGAGTATGTATTATACTTTCGTATTGTTTTCTTTCTTTGTGGTATTTTTAAGGGAGATCAGCTATCTCTAAGATAAGTCGTTTTGCCATAACAATCAATGTCATTATACCACTTAACTTTGAGTTAAGTTGTTTTGCCATAAAAAATGGTTGAATAATACAAAAATAAGGTGAGATAGGAAAATCTATCTCAGAAACGGTAGTGTTAGGTGACTTAAAACTTTCAGAAATGAAGAGAGCGCCCTCAATTTACTTAAATATGGAATAACCCTAAAAAGTGAAAAAATTGAGTTAAGTCGTTTTGCCTTATCAGGGCCGAGTAACATAGGAATACCATTGGCGTATCTAGGAGTTTCGAAGAAGTGGCAGGGGAGGGGTGGGTTTTAGCATTTGATAGAAAAGTGTTTGAATGTGGAGGAGTGAGGCACGATAATTAAATTAAGTGAGAGGCGCTAGGTCGCAAAATAACGTTGATATGAAATGATTTTTAACTTTGTGGTGATTTTTGTTCGGACATTGTCAATATGGGGAGCGACGCGACTGGGAGACCTTTCTCTTATACACATCTAGATGTGTATGTTAAGCCGGGTACACACAGCCTGAACGAGATCTTGTATTAACTGCATTTAGAATATAACACAGGAGAATTCCTATTAACGAAACAAAACTTCGGGACCAAGGGTGACTGAATAGGTACTAGTAGGCCTAGTATTAAATGGTGTACCTTTTTTCACTTTGTGGCAAAAGTGTCTCACCTATTGGACCAGACAGAGCTGCCCAACAATACGACACACACTTTCCCCGTGACCCCACATCGGAGAAAAAAAAACATCGTCAGAAAGAAAAAACATTCATTGACGGTTTATATCATGCAGCCCTTGATCATGCCCACTCAGGCTGTCGTTGTGGACCAGCAACCTCTCGTCTGGGACCCCCCTCCCCCATATAAAAACATCAAAATACTCAGAACTGTTCAATTCTGGTGATGTCATGTACTTTTGTTGGCAACTACGGTACAATTTTTCCTAAACTGATGGTGAAATAATAATAATCTTGCGTGAAGTTGAACGAATCATACAGAGGGCGCGATTACTCTGTAATGCATTATGGAATTATACTGTCATTTTTATCAAAAATGGAAATCAGTGGCGTAGCTACGGGCAGTGCAGACAGTGCGCAGCACAGGGGCCAGGGTTATCGGGGGCCCCATTCATAAATTGACCTAAAAAAATAATTCAAAGTAATTTCCGACTTTATATTTTTGAAGAGCGCGGCCCTCGATAATATTTTTAGAAGAGTAATTATCGATACTGTGTTGATTTCAAATCAGTGGGTGTATTCAAGGGTGCCCCAGTCGGATCCCCCGCCCCCACTATTTTTTTTTCAAAAAATGCTTTAAAAAAAATGGGGAAAAGGTAAAATTATAAAATATAAGTCTGAGTGAGCCATTTTCCACCATCTAAAGTGCTATAATTATATTTTTATTTGTGTAATACTCAGCCCAACCATGGTGGGGGTGAGGTGGCCTTAATCCTCCACCTGTAAAATCTCTCCCTGACCCCACTTTTGAATTTCTGAGAATATTAGGGAATTCCCTTATCACATCAAGGCGCCCGGCAATTAATCGTGCACTGGGGCCCTTT